CCCCCCCCCCCCCCCAAAGTTACTCATCCCACTTCCAGTCTCTCTTCCCTCCCCCTCCCAGTTAAGAAGCCCTGGTTCCTGTGGGAAGGATGCCAGCAAGGAGTCAAGGGGATGTCTGCTTGCAGGATTTGAGGTTGGTACCTGGAGAATCATATTGGAGAGGCCTATCCCCAAACAGTTCCCACATGCTGGGGCTTCTCATATGTCTTTCCATTGTGTCACCCAAGACTGGTCCTTCCACTCCAAAAGAGGAAAGACCAGGGCCTGTAACTTGCTTGTCAGTCAAGGACAGGAGCTGAGAATTTACTCTCCCTATCAGTAGCCACTCTTTCTTTGTCTTTATTATTATTATTACATTTTATTTATTTAGTGTATGTGTATGTACATGTGCCTTGGTGCAGTACCTGTGAAGGTTAGAGGACAACTTTGTGAAGTTGGCTCTCTCCTATCTTATGGGTCCCAGTCATCAGGCTTAGTGGCAGTGACTTTACCTGCTGATCCATCTCACTGGCCCCTAGTCATTCTTTCATCTGATAGATGTTCTCTGAATCCTTGCCTGATATGTGTCAAGTAAGCCCTGTGACTGCTGTCTGGGCCTACATTTGATTCCTACCCATATGAAGTTCACAGAGTAACGAATGTGCACTTAGGGAGATGGGAAACTAGGAATCATAAAACAAAGTGTCGAGAGGACATGACTGGAAGGCCTGGGACTAAGAGAAACAAACTCCTATTCAAGAACATCCAGACAAAGGAAAAGCAAACTAAGGGGTTCCAGGAAGTGGTGGGGACTGGAGTCAGAAAGGCTGGCAGCAGGAATGAGCAGGAATGAGCAGTAAAGGAGAACGGAACTTCCAAAAGGAAGTAAAGACCCAAGAGAATGAGCTATGCGGCTTTAAATAGCACCTGCTGGAAACCATTATGCAAACCCTGCCCTCATCCCTTTCCCTGCTTCCCTAGGTGAATGAGTAGCTTGAGAAGAGGCTTACTGGGCCCAGGCAAACCTCCCTAGCTGTGACCACAGCAACTCAGCCCAAGAGACACCTGTCCTGTCCAATTAGCATGAGACTTAGGGGAGCTGAGGGTGGGGATTTGGGGTAAGCTGGATCAAGCAGCATACACTGTTCATCCTACCAGACTACCAGAAAATCTCATAGCTGGGAGGGGGATGAGTAGAAACACAGAGACTAGTGATCATTTTTTATGTCTGACTTTTAAAAGGCAATCCCAACCTCTCCCAAATTGCTGTTTTCCTCGCAGCCAAACTGCTTATCAAATAACAACTAAAATTGGTGTCGGGCTAACAAGGTAGTCAGGGTTTCTTCATCTGTGTCACAGATCAAGTTGTTTTTCAGGCCAGAAGCACTAACAAATATGGAGGTACTTCAACAAACACAAAACAGCCTATCTTAATCAGCATTCTTGGTTGCAAGCAAGAACCCAGTTCTGGATAACTTCAACTGAAAAGAGATTATTTAAAGACTCTGGGGGAGGGCCGGAAGATTCCCAGAGCCATCAAATGCTGGACTGATGGTAACAGGAAAGGCAGACCTCTAGACACCTCTGAAGAATCAAAGGGCAGAAATCACCCTAACATCTGCTGCTCCAAGGATGCTCACAACATCATCACAAATCACTCTAAAGTGGGTGCTACAGACATTTAAAAAAGTGAAAACTCAAGACTTCAGGGAAAGTGTCCACTTAGCCAGCTGTACACGAGGGCCACCGCCACAGCTACCAGAGCAGGGAGGGAGCATGCTTGGACTCTCTATTTGCACCAGACTACAGTGATGGGTGTTCTGCACAGAATGGGGCAGAATGGGGAAGGCAGTAAGAGGTAGGGAAAAGTGTCTACTATAGGCTTTATAAATACAAGGTCTTTCACTGTATATAATTTGCCATGTATCTAATTGAGGTCACAATATTAAAACTCCTCAGTCCTCAAACCACAAAGGATTCTGCTAAGTGCCCACATTTTAGAGTGCTGCAAGCAGGGTCTGGTTCAGATGCTGCCTTTCTCAAAATGCATTAATGGACCTCAGTTAACTGCATTAGAGATGGATATTTTTAGAAGTACCTACCTCATGATCCTTGCAAAATTGAAATGAGTTAATACCTAAAAGTGATTACCACCATACCTGGATACAGTAAGTACTCAATTAATGACTGATACCAGTGTAGTTACTACACCTGTTGTATTATTATGTTATTGCTATAACTTGAATGTTTGTCCCCTCCAAACCTCATGTTGAAATTTTATTGCCATCATAGCAGAATTAAGAGGTGGGACCTTTGGAAGTAACTAAGTTTTGAGGGTTACACATTCATAGGTGGGACAGGTAGCATTATAAAGAGCAAGTTCTTGGGCCTGGGAGATAGCTCAATAGGTAAGAGCACTTGTCATCAGCAAGAGTGAACTGACTTGTCACAAAGGACCTTCAATAAGGGTTTTAGGTTTGTCATCAGAAACTTCAGCGATCAAAATTATTAGCCAATATATTCAAAGTATCAACCAAGAATACTATATTCAGCAAAACTGTCCTTCAAAAATGATGGCAACACCTGTCTGTCACTGGCCTATATAACTTTCAGTGTCCTGGTCCGATGTCTAGACACTGGAGAACTCTGTGATACCTTAATTTTGTGTGGCCCTTCCCTGGGCTGTCCCTCCATTTCGGTCCCAATTATTCAAATCAATAACCTAGCTTTATAACTCAAGTAATTAAAAAAGGAATAACAGTCTAAAACCAAAACTAGCAAGAATGAAGAAATAATAAAGATTAAAGCAGAAGTAAACAAAAATTTTAAAAATACAGATAAATCAATTAAATCAAAAACTGGTTCCTTGAGAGCATCAATGCAATTGACAAACCTTTAGCTAGGTGTGCAATGAAGAGAAAGCGAACACAGTACAGTGACCCACACCTGTGGTCCAAGCTACTAGGAAGCAGAGGCCAAAGAACTGAAAATTCAAAGCTAGCTTGAGCAACATCACCAGTGAGACCTCCCCCATGTCAAAAGAGGTGAGAAGCAGAGACAGAGAGACAGAGACAGAGAAACTTATTAGTATAAAAATTGAAAATGGGGGCTGGAGAGATGGCTCAGTGGATAGGAACACTGTGCTTGCAGAAGACCTGAGTTCGAATCCCAGCACCCACATGGCAGCTAACAACTGTCCATAACTCCAGTTCCAGGGGATCCGACAGTGTCTTCTGTCCTCCGCAGGCATTGCACGACCTGGGTGCCCTTACCTACATGCAGACAATACATGCATTAAAAAAAAACTGAAAATGGGAATTATTGTAGTTTGAATATGAAATGCTTCCCATCGGTTCATATATTTGAACACTTGGTCCCCAGCTGGTGATGTGATGCTGTTTCAAAAGGTTATGAAGGAAGTGTGTCACTAAGGACAGGCCCTGCGGTTTTATAGCTTG